CAAGGGTGCAAACCGGTGCAATGATTTCCTTCCGTTTTACACTGTCGCAATATCGGTGTAAAGTAACCTTGCGGATTTCGCTGTGCAAATCTCGTGCATGTAGTTGACAAATAATTTATCACACTGGACCGGAAAGAAGATCAACTTAAACCGAATGGCAAATGACCGCCTGAAGTGTAGAAAGCTTTCTCCGCAGAAGCTACATTAACCTCCCCAAAGTCAGTTAGCTACGGGATATGATTGTGATATCGTCAGGTTATATCAGGTCAGCTGATATTCTCACAGGCGTGATACAATTTGATGTAACTTGCTCAATGTGAAACACGTCTCATAAGCGATCCCAATAATGCCGTAAGACCTAACTGATCGAGTACTGAATAGAAACCGAGTACTGAATATTCGTAGCAGAAAATATTCATAACATCAAATTTTTCAGCATGGCATAAATCTTGTCCAAGCATATGTTCTGCTTGAAAGAAGTTTAAGGAAAATGTTTTCAAGCCACTAATTTCGTATTTTACACACGGGTGTTCCCGAAGTTTCTGGATCTGAGCGGTCGTTAGTCTCCCTCTGGCAGACACTGTCGGCAACTAAGAAAACAGCAAATGCGAAAGAGCCTGCGACCTCAAACACGGTTGTTTGCCAAAGCCTCTGTGTCGTTCGCACTCGGCAAACTGGTAACTAAAGAAAAACAGCCTTGGAACATTAGAACCACCTGGCACGAAAATAAACAGAAGCGGCAAAACAAAGATCCCGGCCGAAAAACGTACAAAGCCTCTCTGCCGTCAACGACCCAGCCGAGAGATAACTTGAGAAAACAAGCGAAATTCGGTGGCTACCAAAGAATCACTGCGAGAGAGTCAATATCCGTCAACAACGGGGCCTGTCGAAGCCATTACTTGTCTGTGGGGTGTGCAGTTACAGGGTATTCGTGTGACTCATGTAGAAAATAGTTTTTGCACTGAATCGCAGCAATTTCGATTTAAGTAATAATGAAAGCTGGGCATGCGAATCTCACCTGAAAACTTACCCAAAACAGACATAAATATCTCTCATAAATTAAAACCCTTTACTGTAATATGCCATTTGTGAGCAGTTCAAACCATCAGGTTTAAGTTAAGATGCCATTGATAAACACCTACCGAGTCTTTGCGTGTTTCTGCTATACCATCTTTTAGTTAGATGAACATCATTCGATGGTAAGATGGTCGATGACTTAACTCTCTGCCCCATTCTCATACCTAATTATTGTCAACATTTCTATTAGTGCATATGATATGAATATCTGTCCTGTTTTCTTCCTATGCTTTTGAAGGTCATATCTTCTGCAACAGATCGATAACAGGTTGACGGGTGGCGTGATTCGGATTAGTTGTTTATTAAAAATTGTTGCTGACGTTTTAAATGTTGGTCAGTTTTTATTTTTACGACGTAATTCCCAGTTATATACCACAGAATCGCTCGCTTCATTCATACCACGTATTTTCAGCCCTCTATGCGGCAACCATGAACTGTCATTTAGACTTTTACTGTAATTTTTCGACTTCTCCGAATTTCGTGAATTGACGAAAAACATGAAGAATGAGGATGGATGTTTAATCAGGCATAAGGCCATGGTGTTTGAATGAATTAATACGTTTCCGCAATTGATCGCGTCACCTGATTCAGCTGGACGGCCATTTTGTTGGCATGAGCATTTTGCACGAATCCGCGGCTTTTAGAATTCATATGCCTTATACTAATGAACGGTAGGTATTCTTTAGCATATGGAGAGAAAATGTTTCTCCAAAACAGACCCGCTTCGGAGCTATGACGTAATTGGTAGCTTCTGCTACCGCTACTTTGCCGTGAACCGTTTGCAGGTGCATGAAAGACCTTAATAGCTACTCTTGTGACTACGAACAATACATTTCATTGTACTTTGCTGTGATATGAAAGATCGCATTTCAGCTGGTGGCGTTTTCCTCTAGTCGTTCGTAGAACAGTGCGTCAGGCTTAACCAAGACATGTGCCATGAGGTTGCAATGGCAGTTTGAAGTATACTTTGTGAAACAGAGTTTTCTCTTCAGAGAGGGGTACCTCTAAATCAGAACTGAGCATCGTCAGTGGTGGCAGAGACGCTTTTAAGACACTTTTAACTTATGTACCGGTGGTCCAATACTGAGAAATAGAACTAACTGCTGGGGACGGTTGAAATCCATAGAAATGCGAAGGCTTCAGTGGATGAGTAATGTCTACCTGAAAGATGACGACATCAGGAATATCTTCATGGGAGTAACACAATAGCGGTTGCTATAATAACAAAGAGGCTAATCGAACATTAGCTCCATTGTTTCACAAAAATAGAGCTTATAAAAACATAAGCAGTATGGTTTAAACAATGACACAGAGGGGAAAGAAGAAGGAACAGAACAGAAGAAGAACATGATGTTGTAAAAATGGTATGAACCTCCATCGCATCTAGGACTTGAGCTAGGGTTTGATAACGTAGAAAAACTTGATTTCTGTTAAACGCAATACTCTAGGAAGCAGAAAATTGCTTTAACACTGAAATATTAAATTCTTCATCTTTTTTAGACATACAAAAAGTAGCAAAATGCTTAACTTATGCCTTTCGACTTCTTACCACATTTCCTCATAACTGCTTTTGCAGCTTAGACTACAAGCCAGTCCTAAAACAACCAAACAGAACATAACTCAATAAATTGATCGAAATAAAGATTCAGTCGTCATTTTGGCCTGGACTTCACAAGCCTTCCGTTATGACAAGTGGTGATCATCAATACAGACGTTGTGGTTCTTGAACAGGAACCTTAGATTAATCAATCATCCCTGTTAGAAAAATCAAATATTATCAACTTTACAAATTTCATGTAAATATGTTAAATGTGTAATCAGAATCTCCTGTCACTTCTCCAAGGTATATAGTGTAGTCAGACCGTTCCTTCACTCTGTCGCTTAGAGTACAGTTTAAGCAGTCCGTGGCTCCTTATATTTCAACATTTACAGTGTTTGGATGCAAAACCGTATCATGGGCAGGACTGATCAAAATCTGCTCACAAATCTGCTGATATACCACTATCCGTAGGCATCTAGTCTTGGAGGAATTATGGATCATTTAGCATACTCTTGCGTACGAACATATTTTAATGTTTATGCGGTAGGATATGAGGAGTTCCAGCTCCATCGTTCATACTGAGTGCAATGTAGCATTAGAAGAGATGAAAATGATAGTAGATACATCTAAAACTGAAATGCTCAAATACAGTGGCGCCCTAGCCCGCATATATGGTCTAATTGTCGACTGGAGAAAGGGAACGGCGCTGTGCCTCATGGAAACTTGTCTTGTAGCAATTATGCATTATACGAAAGCATATATACGCAAGAATCAAATTCGACAACATGGCTTTAGTAGTGTTTCATACTGCTGCTAGTTTTCTACATATCTGGTAACAATAAAAGTACATCTTTGTGTAATCAGATGTCACAAAGATTGCTCAGAAAAAAGTTGACAAAAAATTATTGACACTGAGGCAAACTCTTATGACCCGTTTAAAAAATAACCTAAGCGCTAGCAATAACAACCTGTGCCATCAGCTACGAACCATGAGTTTTTCCCTTATTAACATATTCCGTAATACGTAGCCATAACCGGTTCGCAGTAGCATATAACGAGTATCGGTTAGTGAAATATCTAAGACGACGAACAGCATAACTATCACAGCTAATAAAATGGTGCGAAATATCCATACATTAAATTCCATAGATGTATAGCCTGTTTAAACCGCTCTTAGGTAAGTATGAGCTACGAGACTGTGATATACCATGAAATATGGTTTGAGGAAATGGCGTGCGTACGAAAATCTTCTTCCATCTAATTTCTGAAAAGAACTATACCGTGAAAACAAAAAGTATCATACTGTTAACTTGTAAAATCCTAACCACTGCTCAGTTGACCGATAAACATTCGAGTTAAACCTGTTTCTTCAATCTATCTTGCAAGCGCTTCATAAAAAGTTTTCCTATTTTAACAAAAACTTACCAGACAGATCCAAGGCTACCAAAGTATCCTGAATTTCGGCGAAAGTATCATTGTACAGTGACCGTAACTGATTGTCGTTGAGGTACAATTTTCGGAGGGCAGTAAAATTAGCGAACACGGAGTGTTCTATGCTTCTGATGCGGTTATGCGAGGCAGTGAGGATTTCCAACTGGTCGAGACCGATAAATATGTTGCCGAAAAAATCGCTCAAGTTATTCTGGGACAGAAACAGCTGAGTCAGGTTCCTCAAGTTCACGAACAGGCCATCTGGTATGTGGCTGATCTTGTTGTTCTGCAACGACAAGACCTTAAGAGCGTTCAATGCGGCCAGAGAATCAGGCTCGAAAGTGCTCAGTTCATTGCACGTCATGGAAAGAGTGGTCAGCGATGAAAACGCCTTAAAATCGTCGTTGCTGAGCTGCGTGATCTGGTTCCTGTCGAGGTACAATGACTTGAGCTCTGTCAAAGGTGAGGACGAACGAATGTCTCCAACGTGACGGAAGGAATTGTTGTGTAGCAACAGCTGCACGAGAGCAGGCAGCATGGTAAACGACAACGACGACAACTGATTGCTTCCCAGGTTTAGCACCCTGAGACTTGCGAGAGAGTCAAAGGCGTCGTTGGCAATGATTCGGATCTGGTTGTGCTCCAAATTCAACACCTTCAGATTTATCAGGCCGTCAAAAGCATGACTTCCGATTTCAGATATAGCATTTCGGGCGAGATTCAATGTCTCGAGCTTCGGTATGTGAGTAAACGTATGGTTGCCGACAACTGAAATGTTGTTCTTGTACAGAATAAGAGTCCTCAAGGAAGGCAAGGCACTTCCGAATGAGTTCCGATTCAACTCTGAGAGTCTGTTGCCACTGAGGTCGAGAGTGAAAAGTGAATCGAGGCCAGCAAAGATCGGAGCATCCAATTTATAGATGATATTGTTCTTTAGTTCGAGAACTCGCAAATCGCGGCCAAGAGGGGTCAAAACCCCAGGCAAGAATTCACCAACATGGCTATTCTCCAGCACAAGCCATCTCATGCGCAACTTGGCGAAGAACTTCAAAGGCACCACCGGAATCAGACTGTCCCATATCCACAGCTTGCTGAGTCGAGTACCGTTCTTTAGCGAGTCTAGCGCCCGGTAGATGGCTGGCATCCGCTCTCGAGTACATCCGACCCACGGGATATGCGAACCCCGTTCCACGGTGCTCCACTCATCATCATCCGTTCCATTACCGTATTCCTTGTTGTTCGATGTCCTCAGGGTAGCGAAGCATCGACATGCGTCACCCAACGTGCCGTCGATCGGTTCAATAATATCGCAACCCTTAGCGTTGACGGTCAATTTGGCATTCGTACAGGTGCTGCACGTCAGCAATAAGGCCAACAGTAGTTTAAAAACGAACTAAAAGCAAAAATGTCATAATAAGCAAAAGTTTAACAAATCAATAATCTGGTCACACAGTAATAATTGAATCAGCAGATCCATCCCTTCCGGCAATTGCTAAGGTTTTGCTAAGGTTTAAGAGTGAACAAGACGCAGTACAAGACTTGTCTGTTCAAGTTCTGCTTGATCACTGATAATCAGACTGTTGACTGAAATAACAAGGAATGCCATAAGCATGAAATATAATTTTTGCTTAACAGCGAAACTCATTCCTGTACTTTAATAAAACTGCATGCATGTCTACATGTAGGCCTGCGATTAAACAGTGTAAGGACACCTCTGAAAATTGAACTTACGCTTTGTCTACACACTGGCATACGGATAACAGCAGATGCAATTTGTGCTCAAACGTCCAACTCTTCAACCCAACTCAGAGATGCGGGTTTGCATCCTTTGCACTGAAGGGGCTCAAATACCATGGACCCGTGGTCTGTTTAAATTTTTCCCTTACGAGACTAGAATCAAGGTGGCGGATGGCTATATTGTGTAAATTCTGTATCAAAAATTGACAAACAATTTATAACCTATTCTTACGTCCTTGGTTAACAATGCTGGATCAGTAAAGTTGTAGAAATAAATACCACCTAATACCATGTATGAATTCAGATCCAGGCGAAATAGCGTGCACTCGTGTAGTTTATGAGAATCAAACAGAATAACACTGTTAAACAAGTCAAATAACGTACAACTCATTCAAGACCAGATTTAATGACGCATGCATGACACCCTTACTCCCAGATGCCAGGGGGCGTTTAGACAAATCAAGTATCCATGGTGCTTGAGTACTTGCAGTGTGTAGGTGCATTTTGCATTATTTTGTTTACTGGAGCCATCTTGGCTCATTACAAAAATGCTTCAAGAGCAGGTAATCCCCACATGCAACCTCATAGCAGCAAAGTATGTTGGTAGGACGGAGTTATGTCATACAACGCACGACGCATAGCTCCTCCAAGACCAGTAGTTAAACAAAGACCGACCAGTTATTCGTACTGTTTGCACTGCGTTGATGTACTATTTTAGTACATTCAGTGGTGCTGCAACATTTCCCATTTTAAGGAAGAAGAAACAAGTAATTCGATTTCAAATTCTGGAGGCGCGGATCCGACCCAAGTGCGGCGTAGAATATTCCCGTTGTATGCTAATTCGCTGG